TTTCTATTAGGATGCGTACTATCTTTGGGGACCTGTGATACATATGACGTCAAAGATGAATAACAAACTACGTCACAACCAACCTGCGACTTCGGTTGACCTTATTATGAATATTAAAAAAACAGCACGTGCAGAATACTATTTTTAAAATAATATTCAATGTACAGTTGTAAACTGATTAACCAAATGAATATCGGAAATAATGATTGAATAGCTACTTGATTAATTCTAACGTCTTTTAAATCTGTGGCTGATTTACAATCAATCAAAGGTGTGAGTTTACAACTCCTGGCCAAAAATATGTCCCTCAAAATGTTTAGATGTGTTTTGTTTATCATCAAGGGTAATTTAAATAACTGGCATAAGTGGAACTGAATTGGCAACGGAAAACAAATCTCGTTTACTGAAACTAATATGCTTAAGTCAATTTGGCATTGAGCCGAAATTCACAAATGGCGCCGAAATCAATTTGTTTGGTTTTTATTTGAACATTCTGGCTGTCAAAGTGATATTACTTTTGAAAAAAGACAGTAACTTTTACCTAGAGTTAAACTGTGATCTGATTCTAAAGTATAGAATGCTGCCCTGATAAAGCGCTTAAAAAATTCCGTTTGTTGCGGTGTTTTTAGTAGTGTATTTGGTCCAGCCGCAAGTGGAAGCACTACTAAGCGTAGAACAATAGAAAAACTCAGGTTATCAAGTATCCCTACCGGCACTAAAAATAGACAAGACATACTAACAAAGTTTCTAAGTTTATCGTCAAACACAATTCGGAGCCGAGGATGTTTTTTGCCCAATTTCTCATCTGTTGTCGGGGCGAATTTGGGACGCCAATTCCGTTCGTCTGTCCTATCATATTCGCCATTATTCCGACGCTGTATTGTTATGCAGGAATCCAAAGCATTTTGGCAACTTCAGATGTAAAAATCATGACGAGACGACGACAGTCTATGTGTAAAGTATGAAAAGAATGTGAAGGGCGTCCATTCATAAATGATTTAATTTGACACCGCGGTGAAGTGGAAATTTAAAATGCTTTGACGTGGTTTCCAAGTTTATCAAATATACAGAGAAGTGAGGTTTGCCAGGTTGCGACAATGATATGCAGATTGCGAGTTCAAGAAAACAGATCTGAAATTTAATCTTCTGATTTTGAATATGTTATACAACGATTACTATCTCGTTTTGCCTTCAAAGACCCTGTACAATCAGCTATTGGCATCTGACGATATGTACGGAGCTGCTATATATTCCCAAGGACCAGAAATCAAGAAAGGATCAGACAACCGGTCCGGTTTCGGTTTTTCAATTTAAAATAATTATTTCAAGCTGTATTAGTTTTTGACATAGTGTTCTTTTTCGACCTTTTGTGACGTCAAAAAGATTCAAAAATAAGCTCAGTCGATGACTACTTGCTGCTGAATGTTTGGCTCAAAATAGAATTTCCTGTAATGCAAGGAGATGTTGATTTCAGAATAAGTCAGTTGTAATTGATATTTTGATAGTTTGACGAATTGCTTAAAATTTCTCTTTTCCACACAACTTACATTGTTTGTTATTGGAAGCTTAAGAGTGAATCATCCAAGATCGGGTTTTATGGGGAACGGAAATTACGAAAAGGATTATCAATTTTATTTTCTCAACTATGATACAATTACAGACATATAACAAATATCGTAAATTTATGGAATTTTTCAACGCAATAAAATCCTTTTATGCTAAAATTACATATCGGATAATTTTATGAAGTACAGTTTCTTGATATCCCGGCCGAAATAGAGGAAAAATAAGCAACTGAAAGCAGGATACTATTAACCATAATGTTGATAGCATTTGAGTAAGTAGTTCGAGTGTTCCTAGACCATACGTCCGGTTTTCGCTTTCTCTGAGTGATGCATTCAATATAAAGTCAAACATAACCCATGACGCGCGTGCCAATCTTGTTTTGGGGTGATGTGACCCCGAAGAATATCGTGTGTCTCTGATAACGACCCTTGATCCCCAAATTACTGGCCGGGGTATCAGTGAAAAGTACCCCATTATCCAAACGGTTTTCCAAACAATAGGACACAAGTGTCTGTTAGCGCTTTCGAGTAGCTTTCGAACATGACTCATCTGTGCTGCGTTAAAATTGTGCTGAATTAAATATTACCAAGAAAAACTGGTTGAAATATCAAAGGCTGTAACACTGGTCAAATACACATTTTTCTTGATTTCACAATTTGGTTCAATTTTCCATGGACGCTGTCTAGTGAAAAATATTCGTCGTACGAGTTTGGCCTCAATTAAAAGGTTGCATAGAGAAGTGAATTTGGTCCATTTTCTACCATTTGGTCCGCTTCAACGAATTGATTCACAACTTCATTCTGCTTGGTATGGAGAAATTGCATATAGAATATACACTCGTCTGTGTCTTATATGTCTGAATATATAACAATTGGCGCAAAATATCTTAAAATTTTTGTGAATAATTAATTTGAGCGACCCGTCTTGCCGTGACTCACACTTGTCTGGCTGCAGATCTTTAAATAGTTGGGTGAAAATCCAGGTATATTCGGTCATTGTCTGATGCCAAATCCTAGTCATTCAGTTGGTGATAACTCATTCTGTATCTAGACAATTTGCCAACATCAAAATCAACAAACAAGACGTCAAACAAATTCAAATTGCTTTTCTTTTGTTTTGATTTAGCAGGTGCTGGAATATTTTGATATTTTATTTTTAAATTTCAATTAAGTGACCGGAAAATTAAGCTATCACGAGATCTTAATCTGAAAACGTTCAATTCAAATATATATAGACGTAATTTTCAATTTAAAATGTAATAACATGAGTCAAATATTATCGATAATGACACATAAAAATTGGTTATTTATACAAGAGATCAACTTTTATCTTCTCAATTATAAACTTTGAAATAGCCGACCGAGCTCAAGGAACTCACTAATAGAGATATATGCAGTTCTGCACCATTGTTTTTGATGAATCTAGTGTTCTCAGGTATTGTGATTAGGTAGTGCGACTTAAAATATATAGTGAACTGATGATAAAATAATACTTGGCAAATGGAAACGTCCTTTGTTACGATTTGATGGTATTGACTTGCTTAATAAATTTGTTATTCAATACACCAAGTTCACATTTATGACCAGTCTCGTATATTCTATAGCATATGAGGAAGAACAAATTTCCATCGAAACTGGGAAACGATCAAACTTACTTTTTACTTATCGATTGTAATCGGTAAGTATGTTGATAGGTATTTGTCTGTCTGTCTGTCTGTATGTTTGTTAGATGCACGTGATATCTCACGAAAGCGAGATTGAATCTGCTCCAGATTTTGCATGTGCATTCATCATATGTTGGACCAGAAGCCTATTAATTTTGAATGAATTATGTTGTATAATTAGCGAGATATTAATTAATTAGTGATGGGACACAAGGTGCCACTATGGAGTAAGAGCGCTGTTTTGGGATCCCTAACTTTCGATCGATAAGTCTTCGGCCTCTGACCGATATTCTTGTTTTTATACTTGTGGTAAACGACACAAATCTTAAGCTATATTTGAATATTTGACTATTCCATACTTGAAAAACAAAAATTTCACATAGTTTTCGTTTGTTATAGACGTTTACAACCTAATATTACCAGTTTAGGTAATAAAGGTAAACCCAAAATACAATATATATCCGCTGTTCCGGCAAAAAGAAACAAATAAATATCTTGGAACTCGCGTTTATAACAAATATGTATAATAAATACGACATTGTACAACGTTATATTTCTGAGGCCAGTCGGATACTAGGTTTTGTAAGGGATTAAGGTGGCGACATGCTTCCCACCATAAATTATCACCGATTAATGAAATGCAGATGTTAGGTATAAACTCGTTAGCTCTACATAATAGTTACTAATAGAGTTGAATTAGGGTGACGTCTTTGAATATTTTTCCGGCTTGCTGTCACCAAAGCCGTAAAATGTTAACTTGTTTTTCTCCACATTTTATTCATTTTCCCGTTTTACTAAATAATATCGTGATGTCATGACTGCGAGTAATCTATGACCTAGGATTATCTAAAACAAATTTTATTTGTAAATTAATGACAAGGTTTACTTCTAATCCGGACCTGTGATGAAAAGCTAGGAGTCAAACTGCTTAACTGTAATCCGCAGCGGTTTTAGTAAATCTTTGTTAAAATAACCACAATACCAAGTGATATTTTGATAACTATACCGCTGACTGTACCTCATCTTAGGTTACATTTACATATTCTTAATTTAATCAGCATTTTCTGGACATTTCATTCACCTGATCTGAAGTTTCAATCTTTTCTTCGTCAAAGTATAAATTACTTTGTACCGGCATTTCCAATTTGTCAAATCTGACAACCTCCAGATAAGTTTGTTTTGTATGTGTTCACAAAAACTTGACCGTAAGCCTCGTAGTCCTAAAAATCACCCACGAAAGTTTATTTATTCCATTTCGATGTAATTGTTTCAACTTCTGTTTGATTACTAAACGCTGACCCAAACGGCCGATGGTCATTGGTCAGGGAACACCATCTAACAATTTGATACTTTTGGTAAGAGCCGTAGACTACTAGTCGCCGATGTTAATCTATATAAAATAAAATACAGCAATTCTTCCAATCGACCTTTCAGGTATTGATTTGGCATAACGTTTAGGTCAAGTCCGACCCATCTATCAACTCAGATGTGCCTGCTAGTTTCTAAGAAAAGTGAGAGAATAAAAGAGAGAGAAAGTTATACGATTCGAGCGAAGGTAGGAGCACTCGCGTTTATTTCTGTCTCTTTTATTTTACCACTTTTTCGAATGCCGCATTCATTCGAGGTTTTATTTCCCCTGTCGCTCGCAGTTGTATCGGTGAGCTATTCCGCGAAGGGTGTTCGGGTCTTACCGCTTGGTTCACCTTTGCTTGGTTTGTTCGTATTCTGCTGTGCGCCATATGATATAATTTTGAAATATGAATGTTTTATTATATTGGGCAATTATCAGGTTATAGGTTTAGTTTTATAGGTTGTATTTTGCATACCAGTTTGAAATACCGCATAACAAGACCGATACGTTTGAGGACATGGGAATACCAAAATCGTGCGAGAGAGAAAAGTCAGGAGAACCAAAGTTGCTTTATAGACATACAGACACTACAACAATGGTCGGGACGAGGAGCCGATCTTTAGCGGGTACTGGATCCGCCCCTACCCGCGGACAGGTCGTCTTCCACGCGATACTTGTGACCACGTGTGCGGCCTCTTTGGTCGTAACAGCACTGATGGCCGACAGACTTTTTAAACTTGAAAATAATTTTGAAACAAAGAGTTTAAAGCAAAAAGGATTGATAACAAGTCTACAAAGCGAGTTGGATCGTGTCATTGCCAGAGTTGAAGAAATCAGGATGCCTACTTTTGAAGACTTTGAATCTAGATTACAAAAACTCGTGGATCAGGTGAGAATAATTTTATCATAACTCTCGAAATATATCTTGACTGGTGTTTTGCTTGGGCTGAGTTTACGCACATTGACGCTTTTGCTGATGATATACAATATACATTATACCCCTATGATTGTATATTACGGTGCCAATTTTTTGTAAAACGTCGTTATATAATTCAATAATAACAGTATAAATTTATGCGGATTCACCAGTTGCGAATCTTCAACTACGCACACAGATGTTTCTAAGCTACGTGATTATGTGTAGTTAATTTACATTTCTCAATTATTATCAAACTTCATAGTCACAATATGCCAAATTTTATTTCTCGCATCATAATGCGGTTTGTCCTCACTAATTTGGGACCAATAAATACCTTCATTTGGCAACAAGTGTTGGTTACACATACAATGATATGTAATTAGGTGGTAATTAGGATTTTTCTGGGTGTAATTAGTCTGGAATTAGTACTATGTTATCACGAATCTGTGAGGTTTCTATTTGAACGCATATAGTATTTGTGGCGAATTTAGCGTCAATATTCTCGACGAAATCGATCATTAAATATTGTAGCTTTGGTTAGTCAGAAATTCCAATATTGCGATATAAGATAGCATAGTGATATTTCGTCCGTAATGTCTTAATTGCAACCTCATGTTATCTTCTTGTGACACTGGCCAATTTTTGACAACGTATTTTTTATTGGTCTTATCGAAAGACTGTAGCCAGTCTGCTCTTTACCTTCTGATGAATTTTCCGGAAAGGGCTTGATTTCATCAGCGGTAAACACAGGGACGAGTACATGTTGTGTAAATCCTCTTATTTATTGGGTAACCCATGTGATAGCAGTGAAATCTATCTTTGGCGCCCAATAGGCGGACGCCTGAAGTTTAATTTTATCATTTTACCGCTGCATAAAAGTTTTTGACATGAACAGGAATTTATTTCTTATCAAAAAGTAACGCAATGTTGACCACGTGAAGCAATCACTAGGTAAAACATCTCGTATGCAAACATTTAACCCCTGGATTTATCAAAACTTGTACATTAAGTCGAGATAACGTGTTTGCAGTGTCAACGTTCTGGCTTCCCTTTGCCACTGCTATGAAACTACCGTTTCCTACTAATATAAACATTGAAGTGTTTCATGAAAGATTTAAAAAATAAAAGATGAAATTATTAAAAGTCTATAGATATAATTTGGTGAAAATACCTAAATTAATTTACTGCGCCAGACTGTAAAGTTTTTATTTCAGTCTAATTTTGCTGAAGTATTTGATATCCAGTGTTATACAAAGTTCAAGTCGGCAATTCTAAATGTATGCCATCATTTTAACACTATGTCGTCCTGCGAAAAGAAGTTGAATAGAGTCTACCATTTGCGGTAACATGTTTCGCGGCTAGTTGCGAAAAGGACCTCCCGCGAACGCCATTGTTTACCTTTTGCATATGCCACAACGGTAGTGTTATTGTAGCTGCACTCGGCTTGAAATTATCGCCACGGCCTAATTCTACATAACCGTACGAGACTGTTGCAATCATCATAACAGCTGATCGTTTTACTTTAGTAACCTTGATATCCATTTACACGCTCTAAGTATGAGACAAAATAAAACGAGGCTCGATGGTGCTATTTGTCGGGTACTTATGTTTAATCTGTTCGTACGTTTGCTTATGTCATAGTTGCAATGGGACAAGTCCATATCTTCCAAGCTTTCTCGCAATTGTATAGTCCTGACAAATGGCAGCCCAATATGCCGTCTACGGGTGAGGCCATTTAAACTTCCAGTGTGGCCATATGGCCATTTCTACACTTAACTGTTCAATCTGTTAATAATTATAGGTTCTCAAAGTAACATATCCGTTCATTGCGCTCCATAATGAACTTAACTTTGGCCATGTGAAAATAGCGTAAATTTGTACGAAGACGATTAGTACAGACAGCAAAATATATTTTGCCTAGCTTAATACTGATTTGACGCCACCAAGTGTATTTATCTTTTGGGTAAACACTCAAGGGCAACAATTAGAAGTTGTCTTCAAGGGTGCAATGCTACTTTACTCAGAAGAAGTACTTATGCTTCAACACGTACTGAAATGGACATATGGATAAATGTACCAGGTTGTGTGTACTTCTGAAAATTAATTGCTTTTGTTTGTTATAAAATAGAATAATTGAATTTACTGTATGAGATCGAGCTAATCTGAAAATGCCACCAGAATGAAATATAGTAATTACACAAAGGTATAGAAAAAACATCTGATTCGCATTTTCCTGTGATTTGTGTGCATTTTAGATTTCAGCATTTAATCAAACTAAAATCCCATCGTACTAAATTGCCGTATCGGAATTTCGCGTTTGGCTAAATAAGCCTACTGTTATGGAAATTAAGCGCCTTGGGTGCCTTTAGTCACAAGGACTCATCTTCCGTCTTCGGCCTCTCAGAAGTGCCATTGAGGCCAGATAAAAGACAATGTATATCAAATTGGTCCCTATTGTGGTCTGTTTCAGTGACCTCACTATCACTATATCGTGAAGTAGCGGTTCGTGATCGACACAGATTTTGGCACTCAAGCTGTGTGGTCCATTATTTTTCCCGCTTTGATGAAACGCTTTTCCCCAAGAGTCCTTTGCTTATAAAGTACTCGTCAGTATTTGTCCTGTTGGTGTTAGGTACTTAACTCTATAATACTGTTGTTTTTAGGACGTTGATTTGAATATTCTATAGTTTTACTAATATATTATTTAGATAAATATTCGTGAGCAACCGAGCCACCAAATTTGCTGTACAAGTAAGATCATCAACCTTTATTATACACGAACGCACCCTTGCGTAAATTCAACAAAAAGAGTATTTGGTGCAAACAATAGTAAAAACCACGACTTTAAGTCCCTTCGTCATTAACTTTATAGCGAAATGATATTGAGATAAAGCAAATAGGGTGAATTTCTTCCGTTTAAAGTAAGACTCATAAACGCGACTGTTCAAGTTATGGTCCATAACCTATGGTTGTAGTTAAGAATTTGCCTGTTTGTATGCACTGCACTTTCATGGGGCCAACAGATTGGAATTTCCTAATTTACGCCAAGCTGTCCTTGAGTGTGATATATTTACGGACCCGCTCAGTCCACAAATCCTCCCGAGTCTTCGTTTTTATGATGTTTCAACCATTATAATATACCTAACTGCCATATTTATGTGTCTCGTTAAACACCGGGCAAGCGCCTACTAGTAAGAACAAAAATTACGATGTAACAGCGTGAACAAATAGATGCTTTGCACACGTTTATGATTTAGTTACTCAAATCATTATTCGCAAAGCTTTATTGTTTTGCAACAAAAGTGCCAAATTTAGTCATTCACAAAGATAATATACAACAGACAATATGATTAAAAACTGAAGGAAGGTTTCCGGAAACCCGCTCCCGATTTTCGCAAACTAATATTTGGTTTGACTCACTGTTTGTCATCCACACTCGGTTGGATATTGGTTTGTTGTCTCGCAATATTTCCGATTCAAAAAGTGACATGCTTGCATCTTGAGGTGCCAAATTACGTGGTATTTCAATGCATTTAAATATGTCATCGATGGTCGTAAAGCAATGTTCAAAGAAACATTAAAAACGCAATAATGCTCTGCAATTTAAAAGTATAAAAACTAATCGATTTTTGCTATCTTTACCCGCCGCTTTGATGCTCATGCATTTTTACCTCGTAGACATTCATTATCATTCTGTACAACTTGTACATGGATATACTAAAATTTGATCTACTACTCAAAGCAATTTGAAGTCGGTTATTCATTTGAATATTTAGTATTCTGTGTAAGTATGAGCAAAATATTGATAACCTATTCGATATACCCCGGATATTGGATATTTCGCTCGAAAGTCGCATAAACGAACTGCTGTGAAATTCTAGTAAACACTGCATCATTTCTAGCAGTTTTGGTTTGTCCATCAGACCATTGAAGACAAATCACTTTTGCGGTATATTTTCGATTTTAGCGTACCAGCAAGTATACTGTTTGACGGACGTGGTAATTACATTCATTTAAGTTTTGAGTAAAATACCGGCACTAATCTGGGAAATGTGATATTGGCAATAGCGAGCCCTATATTTGCTGTTGATATATCGAGCGTAAAATATTTGAGACAAAAGTCGCCGGGTTGAGTTGAATCATATTTAGCAAAGGAAATTGTCGGCATAAGCAGGTTTGATGTGCCACGCGCGAGGTATGCTAATTCCACCGCCCCTTATAAGTAGCAAAACAATATTTTCAACCTTTCGCGCTTTACCAATATATAATGGCAATCATGTGTAAAGTAAAGTCAGTGTAATCCGTCAAAGACGAATGCGTTTATACGATACAGGAGGTGGGGTTAAATATACAGTATTGTACACAATTTTATGTATAGATAACTCTGAAACGAGAATTAATTATATAGTTTATTTAAACTATAATTATATTGAAGCACCTCTCTTCTCCACTAATTCATTTATTATTATGAAATATTAAAATTAAAATCATTTATTATTTTACATTACAGAGAATGCTGGAAGAAGAAGTGAAGCCACGTGCAAGAAGATCGACTTCGGACTGCACGTGTCCACCAGGTAAGATTTTATCTTTTACCTTTTCACAGTAGCATATATTATTTCTCGGAAAGTACACACGCGGGATGAGAAATAGACTTTGTACACACACATTCTAATATTTGGATAAATAAGGAACACGATTATGAATATTAATATGACAATATCGTAAATCATGAATATGATGGATTGACATCTAAGTCGTGAATTAAGTGAGACAACGAGCGGATGAACCGTCAAAGTAAACAAATAGTCACAACGCGAAGCGCTTAGCATAACATTAGCGAGGAATGTACCCAGTGCTTGATAAAATTGAGCAGTGTAGTTCTAGTTTGTGGGACGGGTCTCAAACCGTTCAGAATATTCGTCGTTTGCAAGAAAACTATATGCGCGACCCTGCAATTCGCTGATTAAAGAAATTTTTGTGCCGTTCGCGAGAAAACTATTTTCGCGAATTCTTCAATTTGGCTGTGTCTAATCTTATCGCCATGCATAAGTTTTATATCTACCGTCATCCAGTACATCAATTTCTTCTTCATCTTGAAGCGTAATCGTTTGAAACAGATGTTCGCGCAAAAGGCGTCTTTTTCAAAAGGACAGATATTGATATAAAATGCAAACTGCAGTAAGAAATAGTAACAGTGCATGTTGTTTTCTCCTCGTATAACATTGCTGCCTCTGGATTCACAGCCCGATAATGCAGTTTTAATTCACGTTTCGCTCTTCTCTAAGCTTGTCAAGCCCAGGCGTGTAACTTCATCCGTCCATTTAATCTATTTATTTGCTAGCCTGCCTTGGTAACCCCGGTATGTTCCGGATAGGCTTTGTCATGTGTAATCTTTCTTTAATGTGATTCGACTGCAAATAGGTTTTCGTGTTTGATTGCACAGCCCCTGGCGCCTCTTCTTTACTTAAAAATGATCAACCCTCGAAATATAAACTTGTCTAACAATCGAAGGCAAATATTGGATTTTGTGTTCAAAGATGACATTTCCTTGTCAGAAAATAAATATTTAACGTTGAATTCTAACCAAGGCGGGGGCGACGAATCACTTTGTAGCGAATTTCATAATGTGTCAACCTTTAAAAAAGAGTAAAAATATGAACAACTGAGTGTGATGTTTGAATAGCCACATTTGCTGTAAGCATACAATAAAATGATATATGTAACCTAATAATACTTATAATTATACCGATATTTTGTCGTTTCTTGCAATTTCAGTCTATTAGTGGAGTATCAATAAATTGTCGCACTCTTTAAATAGAATTTGTCACGTCCCCAGGGTTTGGTTAATAAAAAGGCTCCCATTTTCAGTTAAAAGAGTTTACAAATCACAATACAACCGACGAGATCGTAATCCAAAGTTTTACTAACCAAAACGTAACTTGATACGTACTCGCTATTGTCGCAAGACACTATCCATATATTTAAAAAAGCTTTTTTAAAAGCGGTTTCACTGGTGATGTAACTGGTGTTAGAATTTTTGATATTTTATTATTTTTTATTAATTTAAAAGACCTGTCGCATTACACATGCTACCGGTACCTATAGTCCCGGCTTATAACGATTTTTAAGATCTAAGACACGACGGAGAAGTGTTTATTTTGAAAGATACTTAGAAGGCGACAAAATTGACGGGTTATAAATATTATCGTTTGATCTGGTAAGATAAAACAATCCCGACTTGTCAATGATTAGAACCGTTTATAAATAAATCCAATGAAGATTTTTGAGGACCGTGTTTTTTCTTGAAATAATATTAGCATCTCTGAATGAATTATAAATATTACGTTTGATATTTATTCAAAAAAAAAAAAAAAAACAGCTAATCTTCCAGGACCGTAAATTTGTACCTAACTAACACCTTCGATTAAATTGATTTGTCGTAAATCTAATCCTATCAAGAGCATTTGACCTTTAATGTACGATCTTCAAACTATTGTTGGTATCATTACCTCGTTTCGCTCTCTTTGTTTGGGTACCGGGAGGTCTATCTCCAATCTAACGATACTTTGCTACTTGAAGATTTGCCCTAATTATCACACACCTGTGCCAGTAATTTGCTACACTTACGATTTAGGTCAATAGCTAGTTAATTTGAGGACAATTACGCTATTCTTATTCAATAATAAGAGAATAATAGGTTTTAAAAGTTCGCTCGTTATCGGGAAAACTAATCGCTTATCTAGTTTTTGTTTTAATTCTATTCAACAATGAAAACAATTAGTGATACGTCGTCGGAAGTGGTGGCCAACTGAATTTATTTCCGAACTGGTTGTTAAATTTTTTATCGTTATAAATTACTCTGTAACGTTTGGTCGTGTACTCGTCGAAAAATATGACTCACTTTCATTCTATAGTTAGCCTATTCGCCATTATTATAGCCCAAAATCAAACGTTATGGGTGTCGTAACAGACGCTTGAATGTTGAACCTAGGCCCTTTTCGAATATCCATTTTGCAAAGGTGAAACTTTTACATGAGTTTACAGCCTGACGACACAGGTTATATTTATAGTCCATTAACATAGAATTTGCCTTTTTGACCCATTCCCGCATCCCATTTGTTTTTTTTTAATTGAAAAAGGCGCGTTCGATCATCATGTCCCTGTAAGGTCTGTTTTGCGTATTCGATCTGTCCAATTAGGATTAGGTTAGGAATGCCTTGATTTCCGCAGTCAGGAATCGTTAAAATGAGCTGGCGACAATTTGATCCACATCTACTAAATCTTATCTGTAGACCGTAGACTCGTAAAATATTCGCCAGCTTGAATGGATTTTCACAGTTAATCGAAATTGACCCATTCAATGGAAAAATACCGGTATCTAACAATAATAAAGGAATGGGTTATCCCATTCCGTTTTGATAACGAAAGTCGGCCCATCGCTTTGTGTACTGACGTTCACTTTTCGACGGACACATTTTCTACTCATGTAAGCGATACTGATATCTATTTCCCATCGATTTCACCCATTTTACAGCCAATGGACTTAATTTTCCAGAATATTGGGATCAAGTTGTCAAACTTATTATTCCTAACCAGAATTACATAAAAAATTTATATTCAAAATTAACCCATTACAAAATGAACCCGTTTGTCGCGTCATCGGTTGAGAACATGATTAACCAATACTTTGCTTTTATAAAATGTCCACACTATCTTGAAAGTTATACATTTCTCAATTAATATTATTATTCAGTCAAATAGTTAATTAATCGTGTTTTGAATAAAAAAAAAAAATAGGATTGAAATAAAATAAAAAAATTCGTTATCATTTACCGGAACCAAATGTTTACAGTAAAAGTAACAGCTTTCATGATTGTCCACTTGTACTGGACATTATCTAAGACCAGAACCAATATTTATGAAACACTAAATAAATATTAATATATTTCAAAATAGACAATGAATATTATAAATAGTGAATAGCAGTTTCCCAGTGACAACTGAAACGACAATTGTGTCGATTTCATTATCCGGAAGTAAATAATGGACTGAAGTAAAAAGTTATCCTTGACAGTTTTAAAGAGCTATTGAAACACAACTTGACATGATATATACTTGGTAGAGCGTGAGCCATACTTAACATTAGGTTTGTCTATTTCGAAGCATTCACATTGACTTAGTTACAATGGCCATACCTGAATCGGTATTGAAATGTTTTCAAATGATGTTACTGATCTTTAATTTTCTGAAATGAAATAATCTTATATAGGAATACACACACTAGCGCATCGATACACAATTTATCTTTTTCGGAACAAATTACATAACGTAATTTTCATTTTGGACACCTGTGTTCAGTGTTTCTGCTAGCCGACCAGCCGTATAAGAACAGTATTTATACCGCCTTTCATAAAGTGTGGTCACAAAGACAATCTACAGATCGATTCGGTCGCAGGTGTAAAAACGCCCGCGCATTTGTCGGTGGCTTTGTTATCTTGTAATATTAGTTTTAGAGTCTCTTTATTTGCACGAATATTGACCTTTTTAGACAGAACTGAAATAATTATACACTCTCCATCTAATTTGAAATATCTGCTGTTCGTTATGGTACAAAGATGGGTATCAAAAATTTTATGTCGTCATGACTTCTAGAACTGAAAGTTTAATACTATAATTTTTGGGATCAATCGGTTTTGTCATTCAAGTGTTTTGCATGTCGTTCAATGGCGTTTATTTGTGAAATCTTACTTTCTAATAATTCTACGCAGCTGTCGTTTTACCTTTGCGTTAGCCACGTGGCAGCTTTAAAACGTCATCTTTATTTGATTGCGTCACAAAAGTTTCCATATACGTCTTACATAATTAATATTGTCAAATGAAGTCATCCTCAAAATTAGCAATGAGCGAATATTATACTGTTTATAATATATAGAATCTAACTGAGAATTAAGAGTTATTCTGGACACGATCTCTTTTTTAAAATAATCTACCGTGTACCTCCAAGGACGATAGCAAATCTTTTTTAATGATGTAGCAACAAAGCGCCACCGATATCACGTGCTTGAAAATATACCGCGTATTTGGACTATTTGTTGTTGTATTCTCTGTGGTGTGCGACCCGATCTACCTTAATGGTTTTAAAGTTGAGGAAGCGTATTGTATAGATTAGCTCATTGGAAAACAACACCAATGTGGTTAATGACGATTGCAACCTGTTGTATGCATTTCATTATTAACATATATGTTTAATTTTCGCTTCCGAGTGATGTAATTTCTTTAATTTCGTCAAAAAAACAAATGAACATTTTTCTAAAATGTTGTTTTCACGCGACAAGTCTCCTGTGGTGAGGCAATCTGAATCATCTAATCTAAAGTTGACATCTTTGCATCTATAATGTATGTACATTTTGAACCGCGCTTACACATGGATTCCGTAGCCTTGGCTCTAAGTGAGGCATCTGCTTAGCGTCTTTAGGGCGATACTCACATGCATTAATAATAAGGTGGTCGTATTACCGAACCTGTAGTCATGAAAAGTACGTGCGTAAATATAAAAAATCATCCACCATGATTC